TAGGTAATCGAAAGTGACAACAACTTTCATGTACATTCACCATAGCACAAGAAGTATGAGCATATTTTTTGAATGATACAGTGGACTTTATTTGGCAATGAATAAACAGACAACAAAATTGCGCGAGTTCGGCGAAGAAAGCGAACTCTTCGCCAATCTCCAGAAGAGTGGTCAACGAGGACCTGGTGATGAAGCACTCCGACCAGCTAAACTCCGTCGTCAGGTACCGGTCACGTCGAGACGTGCCTCAGCCTTTCTACATGCAGCTCCATGCTACCACCGTCACCATGTGCCCTTCATGCTAGTGCGTCACCACGGCCAACACCTCCACCGCTTTCGTCGCTCGCGCATCCACCTCCCCCAGCCCAATCACCATCGTGGTGGCTGTTGCCACAGACGACACCAACAATTCATCAACAACATTGTCTTTCGGTAAACCTGGCGGTGGCGGTGAAAGAAATGGCAGCAACAGTATTGTGTGCATCAGCTCCACAGCAACAGCAACAGCCTCAACCTACCCAACCAGTCGCGTCATGACTCAAAAAGGAAGGCTACAGCTCCTGATAAACCACATGAAATGGTTGGGGATAATAACAATGAATTCCATGAAATGAACATCCCATGTACAATTATGCAACCGTAGCAGAAACAAGTAGAAAAAGAAAAGAACGAAAGAGCACCCAACGGCTCGAGAAAGGATGAAAATTGTGGGAAATCCCCTTGAAAGATATGAACGGTTTTATAGGAATGGAAATGGACAGCTATGTGATGATACCCATTCACATTGTAAGAAGATAAAATAGTGAAGAAGACCCAAGCATAGTGTACGTCCCTTTCATATTGAATACAAGAAGATAAAATAGTGAAGAAGACCCAAGCATAGTGTACGTCCCTTTCATATTGAATACAAGCAGACAAAACAGAGAAGAACTCACCTAGTCGCGTCCGCAGGGGAGAATCTCCTCCTTAGCTACAGTTCGCTTCCGTTCAAAATTATATGTTATAATGTATTCATATAGAATATCACTAAACCAAGAATAAAAGAAAGAATACCATTAAATCCAAACGAAAATAATTGGGAGAAAAAAACAGGTCATTTCTCTGATTCAAACCTAGGGGAGATATTACATTAATTGGGTAAATATTAAATGTCTAGCTAGGTTTCTTTTGGTTGCAATGCATATCGGGAAAATTCATACGAGTGGATGTTTAACTTTTTTGTTAATGTTCTTTAATAAGTTAGCTTCATACCGATAACTAGCACAAAAGTAGAGTATGTCGATTCAAGCCCTATGAGTGCCTTACTATGGGATTATCTTAAAGTCATAAGATAAAGAGTTGAGATTTGTAAATTAAACCAAAATGTAGATGATGTAATCATGAGTTATCTTTCGTACCGATAACTAGCTAAATTGTGTATATCAAACCAAAAAGTAAATTTGCTAGGTCCTATACGAGGCTTACTAACTAAGTCACCCCTTGCGGACTTGGTATTTGGATAATATGTTTCAACAATGCATGACAACCCCGAGCTAGTTTAGGATATTCTCAAGTCTCGTTGATTAGTGACGAAAGTTTTCAGGGGATCGAGTAGCTTTTGAGCTCTTCAAATTGGGCGAGGATATTTATATGTACCGAATCATACATGCAAGGTGGGAGAAGTCTTTTTTTAGAGACGATACATATGAGTCATTAACGAAAATTCATACTAGCCAATTATCAACGTAATAATGAATGTACAGATGAAGATTTTAATGGATAAACTTAAATAATATAAATGACACAATAATGTAAGAAATGAATATAAGATTAAGATACTTGATTATTTCCCAACAACTCAAATTTCTGCAATCAATTGATTCTCAACATGATATCAAAGTGTGGTCAGATTCGAGTTCACATTATCTCGATTATCAAGGGATTGGATCTGGAAAGCTCGTCACTTTCATATTTGCAGTTTGGCAAAGAGCGGAGAAAGCTTTTATTATTTGAGCCTTCATTTCTGAACTTTCAATTTTCTGTCTCCGCCCGTCAACTTTTCGTAGTTGGGCGGCTGGTGATAAGAGTTTTCAATTGTTTAAGGACCAGTCATGGTCCCTGCTGGGTGATTACATCAGCAGGTGGTGGGTCCTCTTTCCACCGTCCACATCATCAGTTTGCTGTACCTAAGCGGACCGACCGTCCACGTCAGCTAGCTTTGGATGGCTCTCTTTCAGCGGGAGAAGTCATACCTCATTCACAATCTATTGGCTATTGGGATATGATCGGATTCAATATTATACAAAGTTATTTTAAATAAATTATTCTTTGAAGAATCGTTTCCTTGTATAAATTATAAGTTTAATGAATAAATTTTATTTCAGGTCAAACACTTGTGTAGTGGATATATTATGAATTTTTGTAAAGTCTCTTTATCATGATTTTGTTAGAGGGTTTGTGTTCCAGTTCCTTGAATTCGTTTATTGTTTTCTCAATCTAGTATTTATCCAACTTTGTGTTAACAGCGATACAGTGTGATAATTGGTATATATATGGTGCATATGCAATATCAGCGATGGATCTAAGGGGCTGTCTTCGGGCCACGGCCCAGCCCTTCCGTGGATCCAGAGCTATTATAATCATTGTAAATTTTTCGATTTTAGGTATTCATTTCAGTGCTTGTCGGGTTACGGCCCAGTCCTCTCCGCCTCTTCTAAAATGTGGCTCAGCGCTCTACCCTATCATGGATATGCCACTGTGCAATATGATGGAGAAATATAATAAATGAGATGTTATAATATCATTAATATGGAGCATATAAAGGAGTGCATACCGATGAATAGCATATATATGTGTAAAACTTAGTATTAGTAAAAAATTAAGGTAGTTCTTCAATTTAGAAGCTTCATTTACAGCCTGTTTGGATAGACAAAAAACTCAGGAATTGGAATTCCATTTTCAATTCCAATTCCATATTTTATGTTTGGAAGGATAAGAAGGTTGAGAAATGAATTTTATTTGGACTAAGTTTTAGGAATTACAATTCCTATCAAAAGTGATAGGAATTGGGTTTATGAAGATAAATTAGTGGGTCCCATCACTATTTATTATTATTTTATTAATCAACTATCACCCTACTCTCTTTCTCTATCATTCATATTCCATTTTCCAAGATAAAATAAATGTATTATATTATTAATTATTGTTAACAGTGCAAATCATTTCTATAGTTGTAAGAATTATACCAAACGCTAAAATTGGAAATGGAATTCTTGAAAGATATTTAAGTATGAATCTAATAACATTTACTAACCACAACAATATACAAAAATATTGCCAATTAAGCATTGTGATGACTCATTTAATTAAACTATCATACTTAGAACATTAATCTAGCTTAAGAACACCTAATTGCGTGACCTAACCCACGGTGGCCAGCCAGCCAGCCAACTAATCGTCCTGTTGGATTATGTCATGCCAAGAAGATTCTTCTGAAAAACTGCGTGCTAATCTGGTATATATATCATCATCACAAGTTTTGTCAGCTTTAGGGCAAAATCCATAGTGTTATTATATGAATGGCTTCAAGTTCAACAACTAATATTTATTCCAGCCAATATAAAATTTTCTTATGGGGATTCATTGCTTTTAGACTAATTTATTAGGCTAATTAATCTTCAATTTGGAATGTTTCCTCCACCTAATCCATCACCATCTAGTGACAAACTAAAATTTTTCACTAGTTTATCCAATCTTTAGTTTCATCATATTCTGTTAGGTATTGTGTAAATTTATTTTTCTAATCAAATAACCATCAAAATACTAGAACGATGATATACATTTTGGTCTAATTGCGAGACAAAACTCGCAATAAACGTAGTTAACTTATACCATATATACAGTGATAACCTGAGTAAATCGACGTACTGATAACGAAACTTACTAGCACGGATCCTACTTACTAGTAGAATCTTAGGGTTCAAATAAACACCACTTGCCACCATACTAAATCACTCATCCCCAATTATAATCTCATTGATGAGGAATACCAAACACTTATTTTGAAAGGTACAAGGCAATGGCTTCTTCTGAATTGGGAGAAAGCCATCAATATACCTTGAAAAATCAAAACTCTCCCTATAAAAAAGCATCAAAATCTATAGACCCATTAAGAAAATGACTTGTAAGAGGAAAAAGTAAGAAGAAAGGATAAAGAATCCCACACGACAACTTTCCTTACCCCTACAGTTCTTGGGACATCCTTCTGTCTGCCAAAGCAGCATAACCATGCCATCAGAGTAATTATGGGCTACTTCTTTCTCACTATTAACCATTAATCCATGCTTACTAGTGAACGGCTACATTCCATGTTCTTACTAAATAAGATGAATGATATAATAGTAACCAGAGTATGGTATAAGCTATAGTGATGTTTGGTTGACCAAGATGTGAGAGGTGCGAGTGTCAAAGCAAATTTTTCGTAAGAAAATTTAGCGAAAAAGTCAACTTACAAAATTGATAAATTATCTTCTATAAGACAAGACAAGGGATATAGTCAAATAAACTCAACCTCATATATTTTTGTTTTGCTTTTCGAGAACATGTACCTATTGCAAAAGATAAATTATCTCTAGAAAACGCAAATTATCGACGGATACACAACCCAATACGCCATAAGAATATTTGGTTGATAAAATAACGAGTATTAGATGGACGGACTAAATGGTGATTATAAAATTACTCTTCTTTATAAGATACAGCCTAGTAATGCCCATGTATAAGAAAGAAGCTAGCTTTATCATCCCTCATGATTATTGATCTCTTGCTAAAAGGTTATGTTGTTTGTGATTTGCCACACACAAAGATGAATACACTAAGGCAAGAAGGAAAAGGAAGGGAACTGTGAGGGCATGTGAGGGGGTCAATGAGTAGGGACCAATTTCCATATCTTGCCAACTCACAAATGCATTAACAAGCATGATATCCCAAGTGGCAATTTTGTCACCCTCTTTCCCTCCTCCCACTTGTTAATATAGAGCCATTAGTGCAGCCAACTAAACCAAACCGACCCTCTTCCCACACTTTCCATTTTTCTGCAGGTTCATAGGTCTCCAGCCCTCTCTCTCTCCCTCTCTCCTTCATGTTCAAGAACACCTGCCCGAGATCAAAAGTGTCAGCATCTGATCAAGAAGGAAAATTTTAGTTTAGAGAAAAATGGCAAGTAGTGAAGTTGAGAAGATCACAGAACCTGTGTCCTTAACACAGGTATGTCAATAAAGATCAGAACTTTGCAACTCATTTTTACCATCCCTTCCACTTGAATTTTGCTATGCCTGGTTATCTATGTGTATGAAGAATACCCATGTCTAAAGATCAAAACTTGAGAGTGCTTTCTGGCAGAAATGTCTGTTCTAAAGTCCTGCTAGCTCTTTCCTCTTTGGGGTTTTACTTGTTATGCAGTACATGTAACTGTCATGATCATGCTTGTGGAAGTAAATACAGCATGAGAATTATGTGAATTGAGTGAGAGTCTTGCTTTCTTTTCCAGATTTTCCAGTGATTTTGATTGTTTAGTATATGTAGTACTCTTAGATGGATCTGATCTTTTGTAAATTACATGTCAACCTTAATTTAGCTATGGGAAGCTAAAGATCTTCTAGAAAGGGAGCTGACTTCTGTATTTTATTATATTATTTTTGTGCTGCTGGCAGGAAGTAGAAGGGGTGAAGAGTTACCTGACACCAGAAGTAGAAGCTGCTGTGGTTAGCTTGGCGAAATCGGACGAAATGCTAAAACTTCAGCATAACTTACCAGACGGGAACAACAGCAGTATCTCAGAGGTGCCTGAGGATGAGAGTTTTTTGGAATCATCCTCAAGTGGCATCAAGGTTTCTGGTCAGGATCCTTGTGAAAAAGAACAGGTAAATACTAGTCAAGCTGACGAGCCAATCGCAGCGAAAAGCTGTCAGGTTCAGCATGAAAGCATCGAAGAAGCTGGTCTAGATGCTGTGGTGGAAGATCGGGTGTCGCCTGGCATCGAAGCCGCCGAACAGATCAGCACACCTGAGATACGTTTAGTGCAGAATGAAGCTGCAGCTTCAGAAACATGTTTGGAAAATGGAAGTCAGGACAATGATTTTAGCTCTGGAGTTGAAGGTAAGGATTTAGAGCCTGAAAATGAAGAGGCCAACAAAAGCGAAATGGCTTCATCAGTGGAAAATGAAGTGGCTGAAAAAGGAAATGTAGTTTTGGAGACTGGTCTGCAGGATGAAGAGAAGCCAGCAGATCCTGAAGATGTCAAGGATGGAGTTTTAGTGCAGGAAAAGGTTTGACCTTTGAGTTTCAGTTTCGTATATTTATTCTGATCTAGTTAAGGTAACAAAATAGAAGTGGTTAAAAATGGAAGCAGAGTCTAACCAAAAAGTTTCTATTATGATCTTGATGCAGAATTCTATTGCAACAGAAGCAAATGAGATAGCTGAATGTGCAGAAGAAGCTAGAATCTCCAATGATAAACCTGATGAAGCAATGGCAGCGGAAGCTGAAACTATGGTGGAGAAAACCTTGCACTCAGAGTCTCACGAAAAAGCAAATGAACAGAATGAAGCAGCTGTAGAAACTGAGAAGCACATTGAGAGTGAGTCTAGAGAGTTAGGAGAACCAGCAGTTGCAGAATTGGTCACAATGAGTGCTGAAAGTGAAACAGAGGCAGAGAAACAAGAACAGGTTGATGAACCAGATTCTAAAGAAGGTCTGGAGATCCATAATTATGGGGCAAGCAAAGAAGTAGTTCAAACAGAAGAAGAAGCATATGATGCAAAGACACCTGAACTGGAAACCAAGAGTAAGTGGATACTGATCTCCAGTACATTGAGATAGAAAACTTGTGGCATGTGTAGCATGTAAATGGTGTTTTAACCAGGATGATTGCTTTTCTGCCAAGTAAAGTCTTTTTGAACATCTGTTGCAGGTAATCATGATGAAACTGTGAACAAAGAAGGGAGCTCAAAGGAAATTACCACAGTATCTGATGATGACAAAGTGGAAGAGCCTGTCAAAGAAAACACTGATCAGGACTTGCAAATTGATGATCAGAGTGCTAGAAAAGAAGACATTGCTACTCCATTGGAAAGTGACGTGGCAGAGAAGGAAAATACTGGCGAAATCGGTGTGCAGGAAGAAGAGAAAACAGCAGACTTTGATGATGTCAGAGATAATGAAGTTGTTCTGCAAGAAAAGGTTGGAGTTTCAATTCGAGTACATTGTTATTTGATCTCATTATGGTAAGAAAGAAGTACTGGTTGAAAGATGGGATCAGGCTCTAACTAAAAGTTTCTATTTTGTTCTTATTGCAGACAGCTAATGCAACAGAAGCAAATGAGACAGCTGAAAGTGCAGAAACTAAAATCTCTGATGATAAACCTGATGAAGCACAGAAAGTGGAATCTGAAACTGTGGAGAAGAAACCCCTACATTCAGAGTCTCGAGAGGAAGCAACCTATCAACAAAATGAAGCACCTGCAGAAATTGAAAACCACATCGGCAGTGAGCCATCTGCAGAATTGGTCACAAAGAATGGTGAAATAGATGATGAGAAACAAGAAGAGATTGTTCAACCCGAGTCTAGCGAAGCTCCAAAGGTTCATCATGATGCTGAGACAAGCAAAGAAGAAGAGAAAGTTCAGACAAAAGAAGAAACATCGGATGCACAGAAAACTGAGCTGGAACCCATGAGTAAGTGGGTTCTTATTCTCCAGTACATTCAGACAGAAAATATAGCATATTTTGAGCTAGTTAAGGAAGCCAGGAATGAAATGGTTGGCAGAACACTTGACAGCATATCATGTTTCTAAAATGTGTTATTTCAATTATCTTGATTTTGTGCAAATTAAAACGATTTGAACATCTGCTGCAGGTAATGAAGATGATACTGTAAAGGAGCTAGAAACAAATCCAACACTTGGTATTGATGAGGCACTCGAAAAAACTGCTGCGAAGCGTGAAAACCCGACTATTCACATTGTAGAAAAAGAGGTAGAAATCCAGAAAGAAGAGATCTCTAAGGAAGATATGAAGGGGGATGATGCAGTTGATGTTATAGAAGAGCCTGTCAAAGAAGACACTGCTGAGGAAATCAAGATCGATGATCATAGTGCCAGCAAAGAGGTTAGTTTCTTAGTCCTGAGATGATGCTTTGGTTTCTTTTTAATCAAGCCTGGCAATTTAAAAGTAAACCAATATCTTTGAAATCTTGCAGATCATTGAGGAGACCAAAAGAGTTGATTCTAGTGTGGAAGATCCAGAGAAGAATGAGCAAAGCCCCAAGGTAACATTAGAGACTCCTCCTCAAGGAGAAAAGGATGGTCAGGAAAACGATGAGAAGGAGGAACAGAAGACTGAAGGAGTTGAAGAAGAGGAAGTTCCCAAGAAGAATGAAAGTGTTGATGCTTCTGAGGAAACAATTACACTAGGTTTTTCTTCACCAGATGATGAGAAAGAAGAGGCTGAAGAGATCAACAAGGAAACAACTGAAACAGTTGATGAATCTTCCCCTCCAACTCAGGATCATGAAAGCTGTGACTCAACTGTTCAAACTTCAGTGGAAAAGAAAGAAGTAAGACTGGAAAGTGAAAACATTGGTGTGCCAGTTGAATCAAATGAAAAGAGTAAAGGGGTGGAAGAAGTTGAGGATATAAGCAACAATGAGACATCAAACGTGGCAGAGGCAGAACAGTTGGTTATTCCAGTATTTTTACCAGAATCTGAGGGGGATTCCTCAAGTAAACTGGATCATGGTGTTTCCGAAGAGAAGACAGAGATTTCTGAAGAAGATGCCAAGGGAGACCTCTCCAATGAAATCCATGCAACAGATACCATTGAGCAAACTCCAGTTGAAGACTTGCAGAAAAGTGAAGAAACTGTTGAACACTCAAATAGAGAGGTTAGTAGCCCTTCACAATTCAAAACTTTGTGCTCATAGCTTTGCGTTTTTTCTTTGTCGTATTAAGAGTGTGTGGTGTACGAATCAGGTATTGGAACAATCTGAAACTGCTGCAGAAGTTGAGAGCGGCAGTACTCCAGATGAGACAGAACAAAATGGTGAAGCTGTTGTCGATGAAACAGCTCCAAATTCATTGAGCAACCATGAGAAAGAACAGAATGCTGAAACCAAAACTGAAGCAGAATCTTCAGTGGAGCAGCAAATGGAAGAGCCTGTCAAAGAAGGCATAGTTGCGGACTTGGGAGTTGATGATGCAAGGGCTTGCAAAGAGGTTAGTTACCGTGAAAGGAGATTACTTTTGGCTTTTCTTAGTTTTATTATATGGAGGTAATCTAGAACTTGTTTGCAAGTAAAACCTGATAACCGAAATGTGCAGATAGAGCAAAATAAGAAAGCTCCTGATACAACATTGGAGACTTCCCATGAAGGAGAAAAGATAGAGGGTTTACCAAATGAGGATAAGGATACTGATAAGGGAGAATCAAAGAGTGAAACTGAAGAGGAAGTGGGACAGAGGACTGAACAAGGAAAAACTGTTGAAAGGGTGATCGAGGTTCCTCAGGTTGATTGTCAGGCTGCAGTAGTGGCTCATGAAGGCACTGGAGAACATAGTATATATGAGACAGAACACAAACCAAGAGTTGAAGCTTCCGAGGACAGCAACGTTATCGTTACTCTGGAAGCTTCACCAGAAGATGATAAGAAAGAAGAGGTTGTGGAAAGCAACAAGGAGACTACTGAAACAGTTGTTGAGCCTGCAACTGCAACTCAGGATCATGGAAGCCTAGAAAGTGAATCCCTTGGACTGGAACAAGTTGCAGAGATCTGCAAGGAGGCACCTGAAACTGGAGAAGTGACAGAAGGAGCTGAGGGAAATTCCTCAAGTAAAGTGGATGATAATGTTCAAGAGAAGGTAGATATTCCGGAAGAAGAAAGCCATTCAACAGAATTCATTGAGCCAAGTAAAGCTGAAGACTTGCAGAAAGACAAACAGAAAGCTGAGCTCGCCAGTGAAGAGGTTAGCTTTTGGAATCCCTTATAATTTAAAGTTCAATAGAAGCTTATTTTTGTTGAAAGTGTATACTTTTTGAATCAGGTTTTGGAACAGTCTGAAACTGCTGCAGAAGTTGAGAGCAGCAGTACTGCACATGAGACAGAACAAGATGATGAAGTTGTCACTGGAATAGCTTCAACCATAGAGGTCAAAACTGAGGTACCTGAGACAGATGAGATCATGGAAAAGGAAACACTGAAAGGCGAAAAAGTTGAAACTGTGCTGCAAGAGGTAAATCAAAATAGATGGGATATTTGGCTGGCATTTACTCAATGATATATGCTGAAGAGAAAAATTAACTGCAACACATCAATTTTCAGGAGAAAGAACACGAGACAAGAACTTCAACAGAAGAGAATCCTGAAGAGCTAGTCACCGAACATGAAATCACTATGAAGGATACGGAAGTCAGTGGAGAAATCCAAACTAAAGATGATAAGTTACCGGTTGTTGAAAAAGAAGTAAGTGTTAACTTCAACTTCTATGCACAATGTGTACATATTTGCTCTCTAATGTCTTATTTGAAATAACATTGATGATCTCTCTCTTTAGGTGCCTGAGATTATTCAATCTGCTGATGAGGAAAAAGAATTAGAGAATACCATGGAAGACAAAGAAGAGTCTACCAAAGAAATGGCAGAGCTTGTACAGAGTGAAAAGGTGGTCGAATCGGTGTTAGGAGAGGAAGGGGAGAAGGAAGGCGTTCCTGAAGAGAAAGCATCAGTAGAGCCAGAAGCAGTGGAGGCCATAGATACCACACAACAAGGAAATCTGATAGAAGAGGTATGTTAAGGAAGCTTTCTTTCTCTAGTTTCATGTATGTTTGGATACTCCTGATTCTACTTGAAAGTATGAATGCAGTCTGAGTCAAACAATCCTTTTTCAGGTGAAAGAATCCATCCCCTCGTCAACAGAATCTGATAAAGCAACAGGCTCCAATGAACAAACAGAGTCTGTAGCTGCCATTATCCAAGCTGCACCAACACTGGACAAAGAAACATTGGTGGAAGAAACAACAGAAGATGAGAGTACAATGGTTGAAGGAACTGAGAAGCCATTGGTGGCTTCTTCAGCTACTACAACCTTTGAAGATTCTGAAGGAACATCAAAGGAGGAAACTATAGAGGAAGATCATGAGGAAAGGAAGCAGATTGCTGATGAATTTGGTGAATCTAGACTTCCTGCAGCAGGAATTCTGGAGTCTGCAGCAATGCAAGAGGAAGAAGTGAAAGGCAACGTCGAATCGGTAGTTGCAGAGAGTGAGGCTATCCCAGATCAGCTAGCAGAGGAGAAACATGTGGTACAATCTTCAGAAGTGCCTTCCCATGAAGATGATGATGAGGAAAAGAAGCAGCCTTACGATGAAGTTTGTGAATCCAGACTTCCTGCAGCAGGAATCCTGGAGTCGGCAGCAATGCAAGAGGAAGAAGTGAAAGGCAATGTTGAATCAGTACTTGAAGAAAGTAAGGCTGTCCAAGAGCAGATACCAGAAGAGAAACATGTGGTACAATCTTCAGAAGTCCCTGCCCATGGAGATGACTATGAGACCAAAGCTGTGATTGAGAATACAGAAGAAGAGGAAGCCAAGATTGTGTTGGTTTCACAACCTGACTCCCCACATGATCCTTTGGAGCTCCAGACCACAAAAGACACTTCCCTGAAAGAGGTGCAGCCTAGGGAGCTTGAATCTGAAGCAAGCACAGAGAACAAGCCGGTTGAAGAACAGGACAAGGAAGAGGGAGCTTCACAAACAGTTGAAGAACAAATCAAGGAAGCATCTGAAGGTGTTGAGGCCACAAATGAAGACAAAATAACTGTTGAGAAATCCATCAACGTGGAGGAAGCGGAAGAGCAGCATCAGGAAGAACCTCCTTCTTTGCTTGCAAAGGGTGAAGAGGAGAAGGAAAGCTCAATTGACACTGAGGAAGTGAAGGATGAGTTGCCTAAAACTGAATCAGAATCTGAAGGAGAGTCCTGCTCACAGGAGCAGGTGAAAAGCCTTGAAGATGCAGGGGAAGAAGTTTTTGTTTCAGATGAGATGGATCAAAAGCAAGAAGCTTCAGATTCCACTGGGAATGAAGAAGTTAAAGATGATGAAGTTCCAGCAACTCAGGCTCTCCCTGAAGAACCTGAAGTTCTGCAAGATGAGCCAAAACAAACAGAAGAAGAATGTAAGCCAGAAGAGGTTGAAAAGGAAAATCAGGTGAAAGAAATCCAGGAGGAAGTCAATGCTTCTTCAGTTGACATTACAGAAGAAAACAGAGAAATTCCAGAAGCATCTGTAGCAGAAAACACAGCAAAACAAACAGAAGAACATGAAGTGGAACCTCATGTTGAAGAAGGTGTACTGGAATGTGATAAAGTACAGAAGGGAGATGATGCAGCTGTTTCTACTGAAGAAACAAAAGAAGTTTCTGCCTTGACTACACTGGAAGGAGAAGCAAGCAGGCCAGTAGAGCAAGTTTCAAGGGAGTTTCAAGTCTCTGAGTTGCAGCATGAAGTTGAAGAATCTGCAATCACTAAAGAAACTAAAGAAGTTTCTGAAGTAGTACAAGTGTCTGGTACCGCTGAAGCTAAACCACCGAAAGAAAATGAAATCAGTCATCCTGAAAGTCCCCCAGTTGAGAAACCAAATGAGCCCAAATCATCAGAAAAAAGTGAACCCATAGAAGAAACCTTGAAAGAAATAGAAGAAGCAAGTGGGCCCATGGAGCAAGTTTCAAGGGAGTTTCAAGTCTCTGAGTTGGAGCCTGAAGTTGAAAAGAGCTCACCGGAAAGTAAAGGATCTGCAATCACTGAAGAAACTGAAGTTGTTTCTCATGATACTAAACCTCTGGAAGAAAATGAAATTATTCAGCCTGAGAATTCCCTTGTTGAGAAACCTGAAGAGGAGCATCCTGAAGCATTAGAAACAAGCAAGCCCATGGAAGAAACCTTGAAAGAAGCCAAAGAGATGATAGATGAAGCATCCATAATAAAAGAAGAGACCATTGTTGGCCAACAGAAAGAAGGACAAGAAGAGAAAGAAGAATCTTCTGAGCCTGCCTCCAATTTTGAGTTCCCAGGCTTTATACAACCTAAGGAGCTTGAACAACAAGTCACCACAGAATGCCCATCTGGAAGTGAAGAAAGCAAAGAAACAGCAGCAACACAGGAAAAAACAGTTGATATCAGCACTGTTATAAATAAAGAGACTCTGAATTCTGCATCAGAAGGTAGTTCCCAGGCTGTCATCACCAAACCGGTGGATAATGCTGAAAATCAACCGGAGGGATCCGAAGCTGAGCTGGTAAGCTAGAATTACAAGCTTATTTCCATTAGTTTGAATGTGTTAGAAATGAATCTTAACTAGGAGCTAAAAACACAGGTTATAAAGGAAAAGGAAAAAGAGATTATCCAGGAGAGCAAACCAGAAAGTGAACAGAAGGCTGAAAGAATTCCTGAAGACGAGATTGAACCTAAAGAAAGCGGAAATGATGGGGTCAGCCGTGAGAAGGAGAGCATTCCAAGTGAATGTGATGTGAAGATTGTTGAAGAGGATGAAGCTAAAGTGAAAACTGAAGAGGGCAAAGCTGAAGACACAACTCTGATCGATAAGGTTTGAAGAACATTGAGTCATTATTATAAAACTTAAGCCTGAAGATGGGATGTTGTGGTACTAAGTAGCTTCATATTTCATAAAATTTTCAGGAACTATGCACAGAAATATCACAAAGAGATCTTCCCATGGAACTTGTGGAAGAAGCAACTTCTGAGAAGCAGATTTCAACTGCAGCAAAACCAAGTGCAGCCGATGAGACAATCAACCCAGCCAAAGTCTCACTGTTTGACATGATGGCAAAATCCACAAGAGAAAGGCAAGTGGTTCTTGAACCGACAGAAGAGAAAGAACCACAGCCAGCAGTAACAAGAGATGAGACCAAAGCAGCTGAAGCAGAACCCGAGAAAGCGAAATCGGACAATGAGAAGGAAAACGACGAAGAACGCCAAGAAGAGGAACAAGATGAAGGTGAGGACCAGCATAAGAACGACTCAGGGTCTGATGGTATGGTGATTGTAGAAGCCAGCAAGGAAGCCGAGGTGAAAGTGGTTACTACTCCTCAGAAGAAGTCCCACAACATTCTATCAGAAGTTGGGTCCAAAGTGAAGCACTCAATTTCCAAGGTAAGGAAAGTGATCACAGGCAAGTCTTCTCATCAATCAAAGCAGAAATCTCCTGAGCAAAATTCACCAAAATGAAACAGAAATGTTCTTGGTAGCTACATTGGCAAGTTAGAGAGCAAAAATAGTGCATATAAGTTTTGTAATGAGAGGTTCATTTCTTCTTCTTCTTCTTCTTCTTCTTCTTCTTCTTCTTCTTCTTCTTCTTCTTCTTCTTCTTCTTCTTCTTCTTCTTCTTCTTCTTCTTCTTCTTCTTCTTCTTCTTCTTCTTCTTCTTCTTCTTCTTCTTCTTCTTCTTCTTCTTCTTCTTCTTCTTCTTCTTCTTCTTCTTCTTCTTCTTGTGAGTGATTGATTGAGATTGAGTGTGGTGTGAGTGTGCATATAGGCATATTGATTATAAATTTTTCAACTTTATGAAGATTTCTAGGTTTGTATAGAGTCGGCAACATGGCTGACAATCTTTATTTTTCTTTCTATACTGGTATGGGTTTGTAATGGGGATTGGAAGTTTTAGTCTTTATGATCCTGAATAATACCATTTTGCGCAATGTTGGAAGAAAATCCATGAAACTGATTTTTATTCATAATCTTTCACTCAGTAGAAAGCACAAGATCCCCCATGAACTTGTCAACCAATTTGGGTCTTGAAACTTGCCTATACGTATTACATTTAGTACGAAACTCGGTGCTGAATCAGAAATGAAGGAATCCTTTGTCCTTCAAACATTCAATAGTGTCCTTGAGAGACTCTTCTAGTGGGACGAACTTGATCCCCAAGCCCTCTTCTGCCTTCTCCTTGGATGCCCTAAACTCTGGCAGCTTCACAGTATTGATTTCTTCACATCTGTTACACAACATCAAAATGAAAGCAAAAGTACTATGTTGACAAAAAAGGCCATAAAAAACAACTTCAAGAACAAAGCAAACATCGAAGGCATAATAGTACTTGTCGGCCAGAGGCAATGTTGGGTAGAGCTCATGAAGAATCCCCAGAACATGAGAGAAGGACACACTACTTTCAACTAAGCAGTATCTTCCACAAGCTAATGGATTCTCAAAAGCTTTGATATGAGCTTCTGCAACATCTCTAACATCAACTACCCAGTAATGGAAGTTTGGGTAAGTCTTGTTTCCTGCAGCCACTCACACAGAAGCATAAGTTAGTAATTGCACTTACTGTATTTTGTTTTGAAAGTGTTATTAAGTTAGTAATTCCACCCACTTAAACATGTTTCTTACCATTAACCAGGTTGAGAATCATGCTCACTGAAGAACACATAGTGGGCTGTAAAAAGGGACCAATTACAAAACCAGGATGTATTGTTATCATGTCGATTCCATTCTCCTTTGCAAATTCCCATGCAGCCATCTCAGCCAAGGTCTTGCTAAGTTGGTACCAAACCTTGAAAACAAATTGCGTCAAAATAAATGATATACACGGAGTGTATAGTAGGTGAATATTGCTTGATTAGGGTGAATGAGAACATAAATTTCATACGGAACCATATGAGTTGATTTACCTTAAGTTCCTTGCAGTGATCTGGATCGGAGAACCAAGTCTCGTCAGCCACTGAATCTGGGCTTACCGGTTTTCCTGTGTAGAAAATTGATGCGACAGAGGAAGTTACTATCACTCTCTTTACTGGAGAGTTTGCACATGATTTCAGAACGTTGAGGGTTCCTTTCACTGCTGGATCAATTATCTCTGCTTGAGGGTCAGCGGCCGAGAAGAAAACAGGGGAAGCCGTGTGGAAAACTGCAACACACCCTTCCATGGCGGAATCAAAAGAGCCTTCTGCCAGCAGGTCTGCTTTGAAAAGTTGGAGCCTTTCCGCTGCTCCCTCAAGTCCAAGTAAATGGGCCGTCTTCTTCTCGTCACCTGATTTCTTACCACAGAATATATCCTGAACAGAGGAAAACAGAGGAAGAAAGAAAAACAGAGTATGAAAGAGCGAGAGAGAGAGAGATTCTGACTTGGGTCACGAACAGAAGCTTTGACGGTGTAGCCACGGTGAAGCAGAAGCTTGACCAGCCATGAAGCTATGAAGCCTGTAGCTCCTGTCACACATACCGTCACTTCTTCGCTCATGATCGATGGATCCTCTTCCTATATTTCTCCCTTTTCTCCTGAATAGCAAAAGCTCGTTCGCTATCGTTTCGCGTTTCGTGTATCAAAAAATAAACATTATAAAGAGTAATAGTTCTAATGTTAACCAAAAAGTGAAAGTAATCTTATTTCATTCTTAATCATTCTTTTCATAGTTTTGTTATTCTCTAGATCTTTTCATATTAGGTTAGATACCCATGGATTTGGATTCAATTGTCTTTCTCAAACAAAAAGAAAAAGCAAAAAGAAAAACACTCAATCTAAAACTCACTACCGACTCAAAACTCGTCAACAACAGGTTCAACTCGCTTTGACCTGGTTGGACTGAGTTTTGGACAAATTCACACCCGACACAACACACCAATTACAAAAACAGATAAAACTCGCTCCTGGCGAAAACATGTAAAATGGGTTCAAATCGCTTTGGTCGGGTTGAATTAGGTTGTATACCCATGCGTTTGGACTCAATTGTCAATCTTAACCAAAATGAAAAGTATAAAAAAATACTAAAGCGGATAATACTCGCTCATGACCCCAACAAAAAGGAAAAAGTGAAATAAAAAAATACTAAAGCGAACGAAACTCCGTCCGGATATAAAAGTTGCCAACATTGAGTAGATATGGTATGGATTTTCGGTAGTGACATTGGGTTCAATTGTGATCGTACTCAACAAAAGGGAAAAAGAGAAAGAAAAAAAAAATAAAGAGGATGAAACTCGGTTCCGATACAAAACTCGTGGTAGCGCCTTATGAAACGATGGTGGGGAACAACTTAGAATTTCGCCGATAGTATTTCGAGATGGGTTGCAGAATGGTGGGCAAAGTTGATGATTTGTATTCAAGTTAGGATACCCATGTGTGTGGGCTCAATTGTGATCATGCTCAACAAAAAGGGGAAAAAGGAAAGTAAAAAACACTAAACAGGATGAAACTCGGTCCCGATACAAAACTCATAGTAGCGGCCTTGGGAAACTGTGGCGGGGAACAATTTAGGATTCCGCTGACAGTATTTCGAGATGAGCTGCAAAATGATGAGCAAATGCGATCATTTGTGCAAAAAGACATAGAAGAAAACATAGTTGACAATAACAAACACAAAGGCGATGATTTGTGCAAAAAGTTATAGACAAAACCTAACAAACAATAACAAAACACAAAGGCAATGATTTGTGGAAAAGGTCATAGACAAAAAACCTAGCGAACAATAACTAAACACAAAGGTTGTAGAATGAAGAGTGAGGTAAAAGAAAGGTTTGGAACTTCCCCAATTGCTAAGTGGTTAAAATAGCGAATAATCATATTGGATGTTTAACAACGATAAGAGTTTCGTGCTAATTGAGTAACAAGGATATTATCCCTAGTTTTAGATTGGGAGGTACAAGTTCGAATTCTTTAAATAGTAACTAAAAAAACAAACCAATCACCCTTATTCAAAAGAAAAAAAGAGTATTGGATTATTTGATATCAGTATAGGACTAAAGTATTCGAGTTGTAATAGCTAGTATAGGTACTAATTGGTAATTGTGTCAGTTAGCCTAACTAGTTATTGTCAATGTTTTCATAACCGGGCCGAATGTTGAATCAATAAAGTTAGTGGTTGATGGTTCAACGTTATAGAATTGTTTATTAACGAGTCGTTCATGCGCTATAACATAAAAGATATATATCATTAATAGTAGTGAATTTATCACTAATCATAAACAGTGCAAATCTATATCATATATCGCAAAAATGTGTTAACAAAGTATTCAAACTATCTCACAAAATAAATCATAAATTTTCTCTTATGAAATTTTAGTTAGTAATGAGGGTGACAATCCATAATGGACGAGAGAAAGCTAACAATGAGACCGATAAATGAAGAAAAGGAAGTATAAATAAAATTAGTGATTGAGGCGGGATGATCTTAGTTTACGTTAAAGTCCTTTTTCCTTAATGTTTGTGGTTAAAATAGTGAATTAGTGAACCAGTTAAACCGGAATGGTTCATCTTGTTTCATGTCAAACCTTCAAAAACCATTTGGTTCATCTCTAGCCTTCCAATCAAAAGAACCGAATCATTATTGTAACTGGTTTAGTGATTCTATTGCCCCTGCCATTGATCTGATACAGTTTTTATAATAATGATTATTATATGTTGGATGTATCAAGTCATGGTGATGCGAGTAAATATACACGCGTCATTCTTCTACAAAATAATAATAATTATGACGAAATTATAATACGCATCATTTCTCCAAAACTAAACTTCAAACCTGTCCCATGACATCACCATCTTGTATTCTCGAACTCGTATTCGAGCCACTGAACCCACTGACTTGCATCTCCATTCATGTGGTACGAGGCTAGCAAAACATGTTGTTTATCAAGTACCCTTTGATGTGGAAATAATTTTCTATCCTCGCAACAAATTCGGAAGTTCTCTATACAAAAATGTTATGTAAGGAATTTCTCTGTTCAAAATTTTTTAGCAAAAAAAAAATTATATAAAATTATACGTCAACAACTTCTATGTACAATTTTTTTTTCATGTACAAGTTCTTTTGTCAAAAATAGATTTCAATAATACATACTAGTTTTGTACAAAGTTTACAGGACCAAGCGACAACATCCATGACAATCCTCGCGCTGTTGCTTGTGATTTCCGTCCTTAAAACCTCACTATCTCAGGCATGCCGCCTCTCCCTGTTCCGCTCTATCTAGAGGTCAAGGTTCATCTTCCTCTCACAAATTAATTTTTTTTGCATAAGTTATGATAATTTGTGTTGTCAAATTAAAAACGTTTGTTCCTTATGTTGTTGGATTATTTGTGTTGTATCTAAAATCATTGGATGAAAGCAGCGATAATTTGTAAGTAAATGTATGCTAAAACCTGTAGATTCCGGAACACACAATATGTAATTATTAATCAAATTCATTACTTGTTAATAACGAAGGAAAGCGTGAAGAACTGTTGAGTGAAGGATTATCTCATTCACATTGCCTAATTAGGATGAGGGTTTTGCATTGGTAACCAAGGGGCTATAGGAGCCCTATAATGGGGCAGGCAGAGTCACGATAAGTTGAATCATGATGATTAGCAAATCACGAGAATGATGGTAAAATACTAACAGTCGATAACTAGTCAGTTTTGGATTAAAACAATACTGATTACGAATCAAATGAATTCAGATATTAATAAACGAGTTTTGGATCAAGTGAGGCAAGGCATAGGCACTAACAAATCGATGTAGGCATGTGTAACGTGTTTGCGGTCCATATTTTAGTGAGTTGAATTTAGGTAGAGTTATAGCAAACATGATTGCCAAAGTTACATACAGAACCTTTGCATTATGCAAATGATGACGTGGTGAAGATTTGAGTTAATAATTAGGAATATTGATTAATAATAAATGAATTACGTTACAAAAAAATATCACAAATGATTAAATTGTTATGTTAAAAATAATTTACTTTGCAAAACTTTGTGTAATGTAAAGAGATTATCAACATTTTAGTTAATAACAAGGGAGCTTTCATTCAATCTCATACTAAGGAAGACTTGCATGATAAGCTCATTTAATCGATATACAAGAAATAATTAGTCATGGATGGAGGGAATGTTTGAGTGAAAAAGTGACTATCCAGTAACGGCGAATGAATGAAGAATAGTCGAGTCCCATAAGCACTACAGTGCACTGCCCTATTGAGAGAAGGGGTTGCATTGGCAACCAAAGAGGCTAGAGAAACCCTATAATGGGTCGGATGTCAATAATTCTAGTCATGATAAGTTAGATCGTAATGAGTTAAGTCACAATAACTAGTGAGGTCACAAATAAACGTACTGGTAAAATACTATACAAATTTATAAACTGGTATGGTTTTGGATAAAATCAGTAGCAATTACGAATCAAACGAATCTGATTATTAATATATAATAATGTATTAATAAACACTCGCAAGTCATTATTACATTGAATAATTCCAATCCACACGACATTTAAAAAATGGGATTTAGATCGAGTGTCTCGACTGAGACAAACATTTGAATTACCACTTTTAATTATAAAAGTACTACAAAGTACAAAGATGATCGCCAAATGTAAGTCGGAAGCTAACATTATTATGGAACTTTTTAACCAATAGACAGCAAAGTCTGAATCAGAAATGAAGAAATTCTTTCTCCTTCAAGCATTCAACGGTGTCCTTAAGCGACTCCTCCAGCGGGATGAACTTGATCCCCAGCCCTTCTGCTTTCTCCTTTGATACCCCAAATCCAGGCAAGTTCATAATATCCACTTCTCCACATCTGCTGCCGCAAAGTAAAATGAAACAAAACCCAGAATTATATTGGCAAAAACTATTATTGAACTTAAACACAGAACAACACAAAGGAAGGAAAGGGCCTAGCAAGTACTTGTCAGCAAGAGGCAATGTTGGGTAGAGCTTATGAAGAATCCCCAAAACTTGAGACAATGGCACACTGCTTTCAACCAAGCAGTATCTACCAGAAGCTGATGGAGTCTCAAAAGCTTTGAGATGAGCTTCTGCAACATCTCTAACATCAACCACCGAAAAATGGGACAACGGGCTGCTCTTATTCCCTACAAATGATCACTCACTAATCACACCTTTGAAGAACGGGGGTGGTTAATCAAAAGGGTTTTAGAACAGTTTCCTTCTTCGCTTTCTTGTCTTACCATTAACAAGGTTGAGAATGACCTCAACTGAGAAGCAAAGACTGGGCTGTAAAAAGGGACCAATTACAAGGCCAGGATGTATTGTCACCATATCCACCCCATTCTCCTTTGCAAAGTCCCATGCAGCAATCTCCGCCAATGTCTTGCTAAGTTGGTACCAAATCTGTAAGAAAGGAGAATATTGACAACTCTACTCACGGTAAAAATAGCTCTAAACGATCATATTGGTTATGGCGACCTTAAGGTCCTTGCAGTGTTCTGGATCGGAGAACCAAGTCTCATCCGCAACTGAATCTTTGTTTACTGGTTTCCCTGTGTAGAAAATTGATGCGGTGGAGGAGGTTACGATCACTCTCTTTACAGAAGGAGATTTAGCACATGATTTAAGAACATTGAGGGTTCCTTTCACCGCGGGATCAATTATCTCTGCCTGGGGATCAGCGGCCGAGAAGGAAACAGGGGAAGCAGTGTGGAAAACTCCGGAGCATCCTTCTACGGCGGAGTCGAAAGACCCTTCTTCCAGCAGCTCTGCTTTGAAAATTTGCAGCCTTTCCTTGGCTCCGTCCAACCCAAGTAAGTGGGCTGTCTTCTTTTCATCGTCTTTTGCGCTTTCGCCCAAAAACAGAGGAGTCAAGTCAGAATGAAAGAACATGGGAACAGAAAGAAAGAAAGAAAACAGAGTACGAGAGACATTCTGACATGGGTCACGAACAGAAGCTTTGACTGTGTATCCACGCTGAAGTAAAAGCTTGACAAGCCATGATGCTATGAAACCTGAAGCCCCTGTAACTGCCACCACTGCTTTCCCACTCATGATCTCGAAACCTCGTTTCTGTCGCGCTCCTATTCCCTTTTTTCCTCTTGGAACAGGGGAGCTAACAGGGGAATATTTGTACCGAGAAAAAACAGGGGAGCTAACAGGGGAATACGCCGCGGAGCAGATGGAAGCAACGTGGTAGATGATGAAGATGATGATATAGGTGTAGGGTAGAATTCGACATTTGTGGCCTCAATACACTTACTCATATCAAAATGGACAGATTCAGGACCACCATTACTTACAGAAGCAACATTGATAAATTTGGGCCGGGTCACAAGAGTTGAGTTGAGTGGGTATCTTATGGATAATGGTTTTGGGTCATATCGAGGCTGCAATTTCGTGTGAATTGGATTAATGTATGCTAGCCATTTCGTTTTCTAATTTTTGTTGCCACCACAGAAATTATGAAAACAACAATATGATTTTGAGTTGAGTGAGTATCTTCCGATTTTGTTTCACAGAAAACAACCGCTTGATTTTCATATTAATTTGTTTTTCTGTTGTGGCTCCTATAGAAAACGAAATGGCAAGTGAACGACCCAGTAGGTTGCATAGTCATATTAGAGTTTGTTTTGGCGGAACAGTATTATAACCAACTAGGTTACATGTTATTTATTTTTATTTCCTTTGATTAAACTCTAGGAATATGTTTGGTGATGATACTTCTATATTTATATTTTATCTTAAGTTATTTATATTTCTACATAATATATAAAGACAAAACATGGGTTGGGTTTTCAAAGATTTGAATTTTCTGGCCTGTGAGGGTTTCACGGAAGGGTAATTTGGACAATTTACCAGTCATTTTAGGTCATTCATTTTTTGCTATCAATCTGCAACGTGCCCTTTCAAATCATGCAATTTCATATCTATAATCTGTGTCCTTATCAACAAATATGATAAATATTGGAAAACATTTTCATTGATATGTTGGACTATATCACATATCAATTATAAATGTTTTATTTGTAAACATGTATATCGCTATCAGTTCCATATCTTTGCTATTTACACACATTATAAGCAATAATAACACATAAAAATGCATAATAATCTTCACTATTTACACACATTATAAGTGGTTACAACACATACAACATACACATTAATCAAACTCTCCAGCCAACAGGCCGGTGGTGCGAGGAATTCTCATATTGGTGATGATGAAGAGATAGGATTAGAAGGAATCGCTGGGGAACCCGGGGAAGATGAAGTGGAACTATTGAGAATCTGAGATAGCATTAGAAACCAGAAGGAAGTCGATCGATTGTTGGTGAAGGACGGATACAGGCTTCGACTTTGGTTCCACTTCCCTGGCATTCAATCTGGTGGCCCAGCATTCACCCATTCTTTTGTGGGCTGAAAATCAACCAGACTGTTGGATTGATGGCCAAGTATTTATTTCCTATTACTTTTTTTTACGTTCATCTCATATAACATTTTGTCAACACATATTTTTTACGTTCATCTCATATAATAATATTATTGTTTGTAAAATTACAAATCAATTCTTTTAATTAATCTTCATAATAAACATTAAGTTGCTCTATCCGCATGAATAGTTTAATTTCAGCTTCTCCTATAAACACTTCCATACATCAATGTTTAGATAAGACTTTCATAGGTATTATTAATAACACATTTTTTGGGCTAAACTTTTGTACAAACACGATTTTATTACGAAAGTTACCAAAACAATGAACTATTATCAATTGGGTTTATATTTCAATTTTTATCAAATAATAAGATTGTGCGTAGATTACCGCCCAACGGAGCGGTCCCGGTGCTAGTGAGTAAACAAACATATATATCACTTGTAATTTGGCCAGTCCATAAAAATATAAAAAGGACTTTGAAAACAAATCATATTCCACGTCAGGTTTGGTAATTTTCAAATTTGGCCTTAATTTTTTTATTTTAAATTGTTACTAGTGCACACTGCACACATTTTGGCCATTACTACTTTTTTCTCTCGATTAAATATTTCCCTAATTTTTTTGCATGTGGTTTGTTTTTCTTCCATGTTCTGAAAAAATTATTAATTTCTTATTATTTCACATTTAGAATTAAAAATGTATTTTCTTTTTTATTTAGGTTTCTAGAAAAATATTTTAGCACTTTGCATAATGAGACATTGTCCGATTATCCTATTCACAAACATACTATTAAAATACACTAACTATTCATAAACTAGTCCTGTTTGTATTAGATCATTTGTGATTACAAATATGACGAATTTGAGTTTTAATGTGTCGTCGTGTATTAATAAATACTAGCAAGTCAATACAGTGTTGGATAATTTCGTTGCGAGCTACATCTAGTAAATTGAATTTAGGTCGAGTTTTGCCTCGATTGAGACAAATATTTGAATTGCCAGCTCTAATTATAAAAATACTGATACATGATCACCAAATGTAAATCAGAAACTTACATCAATATGAAACTTTTCGAACAATTGAAAGTAAAGTCTGAATTAGAAATGAAGGAATCCTTTCTCCTTCAAGCATTCAATGGTGTCCTTAAGCGATTCCTCAAGTGGGATGAACTTGATCCCCAAACCCTCTTCTGCCTTCTTCTTAGATGCACCAAACCCAGGAAGCTTTAGAATATCCAACTCTTCACATCTGCTACCACAAAACAACAGAATCAAACAAACCTAAAAGCATGGTGACAAAAACCGTAAAAACAACTTAAAGCAGAAACATCACAAAAGAAAGGGCTTTGTTGTACTCGTCAGCAAGAGGCAATGTTGGATAGAGCTTATGAAGTATCCCCAAAACTTCAGACAATGGCACACTGCTTCCAACTAAGCAGTATCTACCAGAAGCTGATGGAGTCTCGAAGGCTTTGATATGAGCTTCTGCAACATCTCTAACATCAACCCACCAAAAATGGGACATTGTGCTGCTCTTGTTCCCTGCAAATCAATCACTAATCACACCTTTGAAGAACAAATGGTAATTGTTAATTAAGGGACTTCCCACATAATATGACCATCAATTATGTAAGGTTTTTGCAATGATACTTTACAGCCGTTACGTAAAATACACATGACACATCCATTACGCAAAGGTTACGGAAGGATAGTTAATATTCATTACGTAAAAGGACCGTTCATTAAGTAAGAGTTCCGAGAATGACACTTTTCATTAAGTAAAAGTTAGCTTACTTGAAAACATGGTTGAAAATCCCATTAATTTAAAATTGTGAGAGCAGTTTCTTTCTTCTTCTGCTCCTTGACTTACCATTAACCAGGTTGAGAATGATCTCCACTGAGAAGCAAGGAGTTGGCTGTAAAAAGGGACCAATCACAACTCCAGGATGTATTGTTACCATGTCGATACCATTCTCCTTTGCAAAGTCCCATGCAGCACTCTCCGCCAACGTCTTGCTAAGTTGGTACCAAAACTGTAAAAAAAAAAAAAAGATTATTAACCATTCTACTACTGTAAAAATTTCCCTAAATGATCCTATCATCAGCTATGGCAAGTTGGCAACCTTAAGCTCCTTGCAGTGTTCTGGATCAGAGAACCAAGTCTCATCAGCCACTGAATCTTTGGTTACTGGTTTCCCTGTGTAGAAAATTGATGCAATGGAAGAGGTTACGATCACTCTCTTCACAAAAGGAGATTTGGCGCATGATTTCAGAACATTGAGGGTTCCTTTCACCGCAGGATCAATTATTTCTGTCTGGGGATCAACGGCCGAGAAGGAAACAGGGGAAGCAGTGTGGAAAACTCCAGAGCATCCTTCAATAGCAGAGTCGAAAGACCCTTCGTCCAGCAGCTCTGCTTTGAAAAGTTGCAGCCTTTCCTTAGCTCCATCGAGCCCAACTAGATGGGCTGTCTTCTTTTTATCACCTTTTTGTTTGCCCCCAGAAAACAGAGGAGTAAAGTCAGAGTCGAAAACAGAGGAAAAGAAAGAAAGAAAGAAAACAGAGTACGAGAAAGAGAGAGTTTCTGACAGGGGTCACGAACGGAAGCCTTGACGGTGTAGCCTTGGTGAAGCAAAAGCTTTACAAGCCATGAAGCTATGAAACCTGAAGCTCCAGTTACACATACCGCCGCTTTTGTACTCATGAGGCCGCTTCGCTTCCTTCTCCCGGGGACTTGAATATATTATATTTGTACTGAGGAAAGAAACAGGGGAGCTAACAGCCCAGGAGCGGATGATAACAGCGCAGCACGCCAGTACCGTGTCGTGCCAATTGCCAAACGTTCCTACACTTACCGTTTTTGTGACTATTTCAATTCTACGCTGTTTTGGTGAAATATTTCAATTCTACGTTGATGATGAAGATGATGATATAGTCGCAGAGTACGACATTTGTGGTTGTAAAATGGACAGATGAGGAGGTGATCCCCCGTTTTAGGACTACCATTACAGGAACAACAATGATATTTTGGTCAAAGTTTGGGTGGGATTGTAACAGTTACGTGTTATCTTAAGCATCATGGGTTTGGGTCACATCGAGTTGCAATCTAGTGTGAATTGGATTGATTTAGTCGACATGAGTTAAAAGCATATTTTTCGCGGCAAGCGAGCAATGTAAAAGTTATGTGTGATTGTAAGAAGGAATAAACTAATATGTAAGGAACACAAAGTGAAATATTGTCGGTCTAATTCTCATTTAATGGAATATGTAACAGGTAATAAAATCAATCATGGCAAGAAATTCCAAAAATACGAACATCTAAGCAGCTGGATAAGAATTGAGGAAACTCATTTGCAATAAATTGAAGTAAACACTAAACAATAAAAAATGGACTCGCTAACCAATGAATAAATACTAATTTGAGAACAACAAACATAAAAGTAAACTTGAAAATCATTTTTGGTTATGGAACTTTAATTGAATTGTTGAGACTTCATACCGTGGTTCTCTTGTTAAGTCCAACAAAAGATAACTGATTATGTGTCCATTAAGTCCAACAAACAAAAAGATAAAGTTAGAATTTACCATGAATTTTCAACTAAGATGGCAAATAGAAGAGAAATAGAGGATCTGAAAAAAATCAACAAATGCAAAGTAAAGAAGGAAGAACCTAGTATCTGGTTTCATTGGTTACGATGCCACTTTTGTATTTTTTATTGGGAGTGATAGATTTCAATGTTAACTTTTTTATTCGACCTCGAGCAAGAGAGATGAGTACAAATATATAATGAAATACGAAATTCGGTCTCGAGCGATTTCATTGATTTCAATGTCACTTTGTACTTTTTGATTGTGTGATATTTCATCGTTAACCTTCTATTCGACCTCGAGCAAGAGAGAAGAGTAGAAATGCATAACAAAATACAAAAGTCAGTCTCGAACTATTTCATTGGTTTTGATACATCTTTCGACTTTTCGATTGAGAGTTAGATTTCATCGTTAACTTTCTATTCGACATCGAGTGAGAGATGAGTAGAAATGCATACCCAAATACTAAAGTTGGTCTTGAGCTATTTCAATGGTTCCGATGCCTCTCTTGACTTTTCGATTGAGAGTGAGAGATTTTAGTACTTTTCGATTGTGTGATATTTCAGCGTGAATCTTCTATTCGTCCTCGAGCGAGAGAGATGAGTAAAAATGCATAAGAAAATACGAAAGTCGGTCTCGAGCTATTTCATTTGTTTTGATACCTCTTTCAACTTTTCGATTGAGAGCGAGATTTCATCGTTAACTTTCTATTCAACATCGAGTGAGAGATGAGTAAAAAAGCATACCCAAATACGAAAGTTGGCCTTGAGCTATTTCTTTGGTTCCGATGCCTCTTTTGACTTTTCAATTGAGAGTGAGAGGTTTTATTTTTCACTTTGTATTCAACATCGAGTGTGAGATATGAGTAAAAATGTATAACCAAGTACAAAAGTGGGTCTCGAGCATCTTCATCGGTTTCGAGAGGTTAAAAATACAAAAACAAATACGAAAGTTAAACGATTTAGCACAAAAACAATAATATAAAAAGAATTGGCGGGGAGATTAAAGAGGGAGAGAATCAATAAAAAAATGATAAAAAGAAAAGAAAAAGAGATCAATAAAAAGATGTCATATGTCTCTCTAAGAAGAATGCCCTTAGAGTTAAGGTTATTTACAAAATAACCTCTTAATGAATACTAAACCTCAAACCCATCTTTTTATAATAGAATAATAATATCATAATAATAATTGATAGAGCTAATAAATTTTCTCCTTAACTAATTCAAACATGGTTCAAGCTAGCGTATGACTTACGCTCATCGAGTTTGCTATTTAGATAATAAATTAATAGGAGTTTGGGGCGTTATATTATACTATAAAACCTCTAATGGGTGATTTCAGTTTCTAATTCTCCAACACAAACCATAAGATTCATGTAATATAAAGATTATAATCGACAATTTTGGTTTATTAAAATATATCGAAAAAAAAGTGTGAACACATGCATATATCATAGATGAGAAGTACGCTAGCTTCTGCCATCAACACATAAACAGTGAAATAAAAAAGTCTCTAAAATCATAAATTGATGAATCCTTTGTCCTTCAAGCATTCAATTGTGTCCTTGAGAGACTCCTCTAATGGGATGAACTTCATCCCTAAGCTTTCTTCTGCCTTCTCCTTTGAAATCTCAAATTCAGGGAGCTTCAGTATATCCATTTCGTCACACCTGTTACCACCAGTCCACCACAACACATTATCAAACAATCACAAAATTACAGATGATCCCGAGTGATTTGCTTATGTGGTCAATGAAATTTTGCTAGCATATTGATATGGTAGATGTCGGAGTGGATCGTCACAATCGAATGACAAACCATTAATATTGTTGACACAAGTACTACACAGATGAAATAATGGACGCAATCCAACGTTGTCAATCCGTATTAACGCCTACCCTATTTTCGCATATTAACTATAAGTTGGTTGGCAAACTCTACTTACTTGTCAGCAAGAGGCAATGCTGGGTACAGTTTATGAAGAATTCCCAAAACTTCAGAAAGACTGACACCACTCCCAACTAAGCAGTATCTATCATGAGCTGATGGAGTCTCAAAGGCTCTAAGATGAGCTTCAGCAACATCTCTAACATCAACCGACCAATAATGCATCTTGGGGTAAGTCTTGTTTCCTGAACACACACAAGTTACACAAACATAAACCAAGATGTAAATTTTGTGTTAAGTCACATTATTATTGCTACGAGATGAGATTTATATAGAGTACAATTGCTATCAGCTCATGAAATATGATTAGGTTTGTTTCTTACCGTTTACCAGGTTGAGAATAACCTCCACTGAGAAGCAAAGAGTGTGGTGTAAAAATGGTCCAGATACAAGACCAGGATGGATTGTCACCAACTCAATCCCATTCTCATTAGCAAATTCTCGGCCAGCTATCTCAGCCAAAGTCTTGCCAAGTTGATACCAAAGCTGCAAAAAACAACAACAAACAAACAAATCCTTGTGTTAACTAGAGTTGTTCGAATTCGAACCAACCACCTCAAAATTGTTGTCTTGTTATTCGATGCCCCGCTGGACCGAAACGTTGCACATCCCTACCCACCTTCCGTTCCTGGCAAATCATTGGATCGGAGAACCAAGTCTCATCAACCACAGAATCTTGGTTCATTGGTTTCCCGGTGAAGAAAAGCGCTGCAGCGGAAGAGGTGACGATCACTCTCTTTACAGTGGCGGACTTGACACATGATTTCAGAACGTTGAGGGTTCCTTTCACCGCAGGATCAATTATCTCTGCCTGCGAAAGAAACAGAGTAAGGTTGAAAACTGAGAAGAAATGCAAGCGAACACTCTGTAATCCTCTGGGGGAAAAAAGAGAAAGACCTGAGGATCAGCGGCGGAGAAGGAAACGGGAGAAGCGGTATGGAAGACTCCGGCGCAACCTTGAACGACGGAATCGAAAGACCCAACATCAAGTAAATCTGCTTTGAAAAGTTTCAGCCTTTCCTTGGCTCCAGGAAGTTCAAGCAAATGGGCTGTCTTCTTCCGGTCAGCTTTTCGTTTCGCAGGCGGAAAAACAGAGGAGTCGAGCCAGAGTCAGAAACAGAGGAAAAGAAAGACGAAAGGGAAAATAGAGTATGTGAGAGAGAGAGAGAGAGAGAGTCTGACTTGGGTCACGAACAGAGGCTTTGACGGTGTAGCCATGTTGAAGCAAGAGCTTGACCAGCCATGAAGCTATGAAACCTGAAGCTCCAGTAACGGCCACTACTGTTCCATCTCCACTTCCCATTATCATCTTGTTCTGGGTACGCTGAGCAAAAAGGGTAGCTCTAGCTCCTCTGGGTTTCGGAGAATGAAAATTTATTATGATGAAAAGATAAGGTGAAGTTGCCCACTTGCCCGGAAGGAATCCTGAAGCTCAATGAGGCGTAATAAGTGCTGTTGTAGCATAATCCAACGTGATGGGTATATGTTTATTTATGGTGTTAAGGATTCAATAGTCAATTGTAAAGTTGTTGTCTTTGGTATCGTGGGTAGTTGGACAATATAATTGATGATCTATCTATGCACCAAGCTGTTGACTATGTCACTCATGGATTGTGAAACCATAAGGCAGATATCAACTTTAAATCATCTAGACATCTAGCTAATCTGTTTATCATAAAGCAATTTCATCCATAACGTACTTAGGTACAAATTATATCTATAATACAATAACTGTGACAGTATATCAAGAATTTGTATTCACTTTTTCGAGCAAAGTCGCTTTTGCATTTTTTTTCCATAATCTGCTTTTCAGCTCCTATATCTCTAGGCACAAAGGTAGTTTAATACTATTGTTGGTAACAAAGATTTGGTGCATATAGTGAATCCATTTGATTGACTTTCTCAATTCGAATATCTTGTGTGAGTTTTATTCACTGCATAACAGAAAGGTATGTACTAATTTTAATCTGAAAACAAAACATACAATATGATTATATAAAATTTTCTTATAATGGTCTTACGATTGTACCTAACAAATTTTAGAAATACTTAAAATATAAGGAAAGTGTAAATGACTTTAGTGCAATTGTAAAAAAGGTAAATAAATGATTTTGATGCAAATTCGTCCTTGTTCATCGTGAATAAAAATGTGAGAATATCTTTAGATGGATTAAATTAGGATAAGCAGTTATGCAAGTTGATCATTAAGGATTCTATAATCAACTATATAAATTGTTGTCTTGGGGTTGTTGGTTGGGCATGGAAATTGAAGATTTCCCTGCGCCACCTGCACTAAAAGAATACCCCATGCATTATTGCATTCTAGTTCTAGGGACACTCAGTCAATGGACGATTTGTTTATCTGTTTTGGTTTTGTGTAATTAAGAACCCATGTTCACCGCCGGCGTCTAAGGTTAACCTAATTAAACAATCCTTTCTTTACTTTTCGACGAACAGTTTCTGACCTAACCTTTCCGACGAGGAAGGTAAATCTGGCGTTTAGAGTTTTCAGTTTTGGATGTCATTTGTTACAATATTATTATAACCCAAGAAGTAAACGCATGTTTCCCTTTCCGTTTCCTATTTCCCTTTCAAAATGTCGATAGCTAATGCAGAAAAACATGTTAATTTTTCATTTCGTTTTTATTTGAGACAAATCGTATTATGATGATGGATTGTGATATGCTATCGTATATGTACGATTCGCGGTAATATGTTACTAATAATGGCATGCAAATTAATTGTGGTTGTCAAAATTTAAATGGCAGTGACTAATTTGTTAGTAAATTCCTATGACGATAAATTAAAGAGTTTTGGTGCATGTTATCTTCACAAAAGCTTTTGCAAAGAGCCAAACAAGTCATAAAACAATCGTTATAATATCTTGTGTCCCTTATTCTATAGTCTATGCACATTTGGTGATAATTAATTTGTAAATAATTAATTCGATCATGTGCATCCGTCGACGTCGACCGCAGGATATATCCATTGACCTTCCTTACAGTGAGGCTATGGTATTGACACCCATCGGGATTCTAGCTTGTCCTAATGCATCTAACGGCTATAGATCATGCATCGGTGTGTTAGAATGATGGCTCAATGTGCATAAGAATTGTAATCTAACTTGAAGCTAGCCAATATGATCTTATTAGGATTTCATTATATTTTAAACGTACAGACACAGCACACCTCAATCGATCCGTATTTTCTTCGATACAAAGTTTACAATCCATTATTTTCTCCTTCCTTCTATGTTGTGGTATCGGGTCAATTATCGACCAAATTAAATGTTAATTGCTTCTTGAACTTCTCATATAAAATGTTTCTATGCTTTAAGCTAGCAAATTAGTTTATTGAGCTCTCGAAACATCTTGATAGAAGTAAAATAATTCTGCCATGGATGCACCACAATGAAGTCAACAGGAACATTAATTGTTTATTTCCTCTATATACCTAAACAATGTCTTCCCTTTTCTGAAGAAAAAAAAAACAATGTCTTCTCTCTTTTGTCGACGGATTCTACCAAGACTTTGGTCGCATGAAACCCAGCGTTTAGCGGTTGGAAGCTTGCATCCCATAGATTAATACTGCTGAAATCAGGGCGTGCATGTTTTTAGCAACCATTTAGCCATTGTCTGCTTCCTACTAGCCATTTCAGAATGTTGACGATGGCGATAAGAAAATATGTTCACTTTTCATTTTGTCATATACCTTTTGTTTTCGGTGGGAGAAACCGTGTGATGACAACTAATTAAATCGTTATGTGTCTTCCAATCAATGCAAGTGGTGCAATCTTAATGACCTAAATAAAAGAGATTGTCTCAGTGATATATAGAATCACAATCACGATATATTTCTGTAAATTATGTTTGCTTGAATACGCTTCGCATTTCTTATTTTAGTTTCCCTTATTTATTATTATTTTTTTCGTCGAAGAAAATAGTGCACATTGTGTCATATGGAGGCGACACATTATCATGTTTTGTATTAGAAGTCTTTTGGTTGGGGTGTATAATCTCACACATGCAATTTGCAGCGGCATGGTACCATCTTTATCGCTAAAATTCGCAGTACATAGTGCGTTATTGTCTTCCTAACTGTGACATTCTAATGATTGTGTTTGATTTGGACGAAACAACATAAATATAAGTTTCCAATTTGTTAACATTTAAACATTAGTTGTTGTTTCGTTAGTGCATCAAGACATTAATGACCTTGATTCCTTGCTATCTACAATATCAATGACCTAACTGACCCCAGGTGGCAAATTAAAACAAGTTGAATACCAAAATGAGGATAATCAGTTATGCAAGTTGATTAATTGACCCCAAGACCTAATTGACCTCGTTGTATAGTCGTTATGCACACAGTGATAACCTCCAATATGTATCAGGATTATAGCCTAATTCAAAAGAAGGCCAATAGATATATTCAAGTTTATCAGGATACTATATACAGCAAATAGATCATATGATCTTATATTTCAATTCCCCGTGACAATTTAGTTATCGTATGGCTATTATATCTGAAACTGTTAGCCTCGTCAACCATATGTATTCTTCGGAACAACTTCACAATGATCCATCACTTCTTCCCGTCTTTTATATCGTTGTCGGGTTACAGGCGCAATCTGAGTCGGGTCAATCATCAGACCAATTCTGGTTGCATGGCCAACTTCAACTTGACATATAAAAAGAAAGCCTCCATGCTTTAAACTAATACCCCCCATGCAGCACGACTCGCAGTAGTATGTTTATCGCCTTACTGCACAGTAGCACTGCACTTGGGGTACCTGATATAACGAGTTTACATGCAATCCCAAACTGATGGATTCTTAATCACCTAAAAATGAGTTCATCTCGAATTAAACCTGGAGTCTTGCATATAATTTTCCAATCAAAACTCATCATGCTATCTAAATAGCACGAACCGACAATCTGTTACTACCAAAAGCATACATTAGCAGTATATACATGACCGTGCAAACCTGGATTTCTACAGTTCTTTGTTAGCTACTGAGAGTTTGCACGTTCCATCTCACCGCCAGAATCCCATTCAGTTGTGCTCTAACCATCATACACAAACTAAACATTTGCCAAAACGTTGCTCCACCTACAGCTCCATTAAGCTTTAGAAACGGTGCAAGGAATGAACCTCAATAAGGAACAGAGACCGCATCTAATCCAATGGGTCCCATGAATATAAACCTGTATTTGATGAATAGCATTCTTAATGAATCATAAACACAGATTTGTAATGCAACCATTACATGAGTTGAAGCTACTTACCCAGACGTGGAGACGTCCAATTTGGCTAAGGTCTGGGGTAAGAGATAGAAAAACTCAGGCCACATTGAGTGCAACATCTCATACCGTTCACTAGATGGAACAACCGAACGCTTCACCTGCAAAAATAAATTAGTTGATAGTTTTCAAAACTCATCATAAATGCAAAATGTTGTCCGATGATTCGAGATGGTAATTAATTAGTTTATTTTACTTACTGGGTTCCAGGGAAGGACAGGGACTGCGTCACCCATGTATAGATTATAACAGTGTTGTAAGAAACACGACGCAATGCTTGTGTAAGGTATTGCTCCGTGATGAAGTTTGAAGATATAGGAGAAGTTTGGATGGCTCATGATGTGTTCCCTAGGATTCCAGCTACCTTGCTTAGATGTTTTACACATAAGATCCAACATCTCTTTGTCAAACTCCTTGAGCAGCTCCCTCCTTCGCAACGCTGAAAAGGCCCCATATAAATATTGCAACTTCAAATCCGCTCCATAGAAAAAGAGAGAATTGTGCAAATTGAGACAGCCCACGGTCCTGAAAAATTTAACTGCATTATCAATGCTATATGCCACACACTCCAAAAATAAACAGGAAAAGGATCAAACATGTAGAGTGACAATACATACATGAAAGGAAGATAAGTTTGAAGCAATTAAAAAATGAATTTTGTCATAAAAATGATAAACCATGCGAAGCAAAAAAGTACTGAGGCAATAGAAATAAGCTTCAAAGTCAATTCTACTTTTGCAGATCATACTCCTATAGATACCTTAGATTTACTTGCCGTATTTTCTATAATGGTGAAGGGGGTGGAGAACTGAACCACCAACCTCCTTGAAAGAGGTGAGATTAATTAACTAATAGACCAGATGGTTGATGAAACTATAAATGCATAGCTAATCTATGGTAAATAGTAAAACTAACCTCAGATGTCTCATCAATGCCTCGAACCAAAAGGGCAGAGTAGCATTATCTGCCGAATACTTCTGAACTAGAGTAGTAAGTATATCAGCCAAGTCTTGACAATCTTGGGTTCTGAACTCACTTGAATCCTTTCCTCGATCTCCAAGCCCGGTTAACCGTACATCAACCTTAGTTACTCCTTGAACCGGATATTTGAAAACCACAATGTTTAATGGGTACCTTCCGCTTCCATCCCACTTAAGATTGTTATGGTTTTGGTTGTTTTCAATATGTAATTCATGCAATGCACGGAAAGTTTTCCTTCAAAAAAGAAAGGGTAAATGACAAACTAAGTATCAATATCATACATAATTCTAATGCACAAGAATCACTATATTATCTAAATGCGTACATCAAAGAAAATCAGTATTAACGCTCTGGGCTCTTAAGATGAAAACCATACGAAGATCAAAAGACAAAGAAAAAGCAAAGAACATTGGTATATAAAACCCGAGGAATCAAGTTAAATTCACGGAGACAACAAAAATGGCAATATCTCAGTTTCAAAGAAGAGATTATGCAGAAAACCAGTTACCCGTAATAAAACAAAACGCTCACAGTGAAACAGCAAGTAATGGATAATTCCAGGTCCACAATATATCACCATTTTGAAATCACCCAAATTTCTTGATAATAAGATTATTTGAATAGAAGTTATTACAAGTACCTCATGACGAGAAGGAATTCTAGGTTCATAACTCCATTAGAATCAACAATTTCTCCAATTTCCTCAACGTACTGTTGCAAATCCTTGTCAAAGTTCTCGTATAGAAAGTGAGTAGTATCCCCGTCTGGAAGGGCAGCAACACCAAGCAACACATAGTTGTGCACGGAGTCCCATGCCCTCTGAAATGCCACCATTTCCGATGCAATAGCTTGAGATCCAGTAACAGATCGCACACAGCGCCTCCTAAAATTGTGTGTACGACCGCACTCAAAGTATTTCACCGATGCCTCTCGGATTGTAACTCCATCATATTCCCCAATTATCCTCTCCTCCGAGAATTCCAGCATTCCCTCTGCTACCAACATCACAATATCTGTGTTAGTCCGTCTGCTAACCAATATATACTACAACAAGAACATAAATGGACAGTTTATACAGCAGCAAGACCAACCAGGATCAAAGACTCTGAATTTAACGGATGTTTAGGCTCTACCAAGCTAGATGAGCTAGCAGATGCCTGATGTTTCCCCTTTCAGATTTCACCTACTGCTTACTCATAGCTAGCCTCAACAACTAGGATTTTGGAGTATCTTCTAAGCAAACCCTCACAGAAGAGTTGCAATTCTGTTCCAGTTAGCCACCCAAATCAGCAGTGCTGCTAAGTGCGAACTAAACCACGTGAAATGGAAACCGACCCCAACTCATAATTAGTAGTGGACTGACTCCCCTACAACTCAACCGCCTTAATCTAACAAACAGAATCAATCGTCTAGGTGAATGATCAGCAATAGAATTAGGGTGATTGTGAGTTTCAGTTCCAGAAATTCCATACGAATCAGATAAGCGAGCTTGTTCTACAGATAACTTACTTTCTCCGGTTTCTGTAGGGCTAAACATTCCGTCGGAGTGGAATGCAGAGAGAGAGAGAACGAGAGAGCAGCGAATGCGACCTGGAGAGCTGGACCGGCAACTAGAAGCGGGGAGCGAGGATGCGGGTGTTGACAGTGGAAGGGAAGGATAGTGGGACTGTGGGAGTGGCGAGCGACGGAGCGAAGGAAGCTGCTTATAATATGGAACCCTATATTCGTGGTCATTGCGTTGGTCTGTTCTTTTTTTTTTTTTTTTTGGTAAGAGTCTGTTCTATTTTTTAATAGGAAAAGATGTTAAGTTAAAAAATAATTACAAACGAACACATTTCATAGTTCATACTGAAATTAGGATTAGAGCATATAAATTATGAAAGCTAAAAGTATCATTATGAAAAGCATATGTGTTTATTCTCGAAACCATGTTTTCTAATTATATGCTAAATCAATTATATTTTTATCACTAAAACGCTTGTGAGGGCATAGCGCTATATCAATTACAATATTACATGTGTTTTTGAACCCAACGAAATTGCTCTCCACCAACTATCACCATGTCTGGATGTTGTGGTCAATATCTTGAGTCGCTGCCTTGATATTGTTCTGGCTTTTGTTCGACGAGCTCGAAATGTGAAGGCCAACTGGGTTACCTGATAGTGTGCCCGCAATCATCTCCCATACGAGTGGATTACTATCCTCAAAGTTATTGCTCCTCTTTTGTAATCCGAAATTGGCTTTGGGATTAATGTAGAGTTTTATTGTAAACAAAAAAAAACTATCACCATGTGCTCCCTTGCTAGTTTCACCATCGCCCATGGCTCGAACCCCAGTACTCTCTTCATCGATGTCCAGCCCATCGCTCCACCATCAGCTCGAACCTCGACTCACAAGCCTTTCTATTCGACTCGACCCAGGGCTCGACGAACAACACCCACCTAGAAATATTGACGAAAAACTAATTTTGTTACTAACTTTAGTACAAGAGCTCAGGTGTTCAGAAGTTAGTTATTGACTCTTTATATTAGACTTAGCAAATAATAACCCGACCCATTGACTATAATGGTATTTTTTTTTTGTGTTTGCGTGAAAATGACAATTTTCTTTTAGAAAAATGGTAATTTTTATTGACCCTTCTTTATTTGATATGAATATATATCGTCAAACATTTCATGTATAATTGACGAAAATTCTAGATCAGATAAGAAATAGAAGTTCTAGAGAGAGAAGCAAAATGAATACACAGTGCAACTCATCTTAACATTTCACGCCTTCAAATACCAAGGAAGCAAACGATGGGCTACTATCAAGTAACGCTTTCTGGTGTAACTGTTACCTAAGAAATAACTATTGTTCCGTAACCTTCACATAATATATGTGTATTTTACGTAACAATTGTAAAGGTCAATAAGTGATAACATACACTACCGATTACCACTGGACGGTCTAAATTGATTTAGTATATTTTAAAGATATAAATTAATGCAAATTATCTAACTTGAAATTATACCCAAACCACTCCTCCTTTCACCATTCTTCCATCACTAATATTCCCAAATTCACTATTTATGTCAACCATCTATTTTTCCTTGGTTGTTGCACCTTTCTATCAGGTTCGGTGATGGTTGGGTATTGAGGAATGGAGGAAGAAAGATGGGATGGTAAGAAAAAATGTAACTGTAGCATACATGAGTTAGCCAAAATTAAATAATAAAAAAAATCTCTAATTAGCACCCTAAACCTGCGGTCCAAACTCCAAATTAGCATCCTCTTAGTGAACAGTAAATAGGATTTTAAGTTTGACAATTGAGTTGTCGCATCATTATTATATTTTAAACTGTTAGCCTAATCAATCATTTGTATTCTTCTATACAAATTCGTAATAATTTATCATTTTCCCCCATCTTTTATATCATTGTTGGGTTACAGGCCCAACTTGAGTCGGGTAATCTTCGATACAAATTCGTAATAATCTATCATTTCTTTTCATCTTTTATGTTGTTGTTGAGTTACAGGCCCAACTTGAATCGGGTCACTCATCGGACCAATTGTGATACTTTCCAAGACTGATATTTTACAAGCTAAACTAGGCTTCCAACCAAGCTATATTTGGAGAAGTATCTTTGCTGCAAAAGAAGAAATTGCTGATGGTTTTAGGCGGAGAGTGGGGAACGGGGAGTCTATTAACATAGGGAGGGATGAATGGATTCCAGGGAAGAGCTTTTTCCAGGCCGATCCCATTCCAAACGGGGTTCTCCCTGAGGCCACTGTGAGCACCCTCATTGATGTTAGCTCAGGGGGTTGGGATGTGGAATAACTCAAGGAACTATTTTCTAGGGATGATCAGACTCTCATATAAAAAATCCCTCTCATATTCCCTCTCGGCCCTGATTCTAGAGTGTGGAAAGATTCGAAAAAAGGTATTTACTCTGTGAAATCTGCCTACTCCCTCATTCGAAGCAATCAATCTGGTCATCTATCTCGTTCTCATTATCTCAACCCTGAGGATTCTAAGCTCTAGAAAGCTATTTGGAAGCTACATATTCAGCCTATGGTTCGAATTTTTCTATGGAAAGTGTGTAAGAACATCTTACCTATGGGTGTTCATTTTGAGGAATGGCTTGATAGGGCGAGTGTCCCTTTTGCAGCCTTCCTGAAACGCAAATGCATGCCCTTTGTGAATGCGACTGGATTCGAAGAAGGTGGAGAAATTGTGAGGAGAAGGACATCTTTGAAAAGGGTGAAGGGAAGTCCTGTTTTGAATGGATGAAAGAAGTCATGAAAGGCTTTCCAGAAGATCGAATACAAAAGTTCTGCTCAATCCTATGGTACCTGTGGAAGGAGCGATGCAATCATAAGTTCAATAACCGGAAGATGGAGGAGGATGGGATTATTCCTCGTGCTTTGGGATGGCTTTCGACTTTCCTGGCTGCTCAAGACTCTCCTAGCCCAAACCCTGGGGGTGACTCGATTCGGAATAGGTCGGAACAAGAATGTCGCTTGACTCCGCCCCCGCAGGGTTTCTACAAACTAAACTCTGATGCTGGGGTGCTTCAGGATCGAGGGATTGGCCTAGGCTGTATCATTCACGATTGGCGAGGAGAATTTGTGGGGGCGATGGCGAAAAAGGAGAAAGGTATTTGTAGATCCATCGAAGCTGAGGCAAAAGCTCTGGTCATGGGTTTAAGGGAGGCAAATCAGAGGGAGCTTAGCCCCCTGATTGTTGAAACCGACTGCCAGGTGCTGGTGAATCAATTGAAGAAGGGAGATGAAGATTGTACTGAGCTGGGATTTTGGTGTGATGAGCTGAAACATTTGGCTAGAGTAAATGAATCTCTGTCGGGGAGAGAAGTGAGTTGGGAGTTTAGATCAAGGAAGTCGAATACTGTGGCCCACTGGTTGGCTCACATTGGGTTGGGGTGGGATTAGGGATGTCAATCCAACCCGTAACCATGGGTATCCTACCCGACCGTAACCGGTCAACGAGGGTAATTACCAGCTTTGACGGGTTAAGGGGCGGGTACGGGTAATACCCGGTTTCAAAATAAAGGGTAGGGTACGGGTATGGTAATCGATAATACTCGCCCGTTATACCCGCCCCACTAACCAAAGGATCAATTTCCCTTGAGAAATTTATTTTAGCTTGAGAAATTGAGTTTAGCTACAATTGTTGATGATGAAGATGTAGACGATTATTATGTTTGTGTGGATTGTAAAAACAAGAACAATTATTATATGTTTGCTGTTTTTATTTGTGTGGATTGTTGAAGCTAGAACAGTTACAAGTATTGAGAATTTTTAATGGACAAGAGTATGTATGTGCATATATGTGTATAAGTCATAGTTTAGGATTCGTACCCATGGTTACCCGAATACCCGTGGTTACCCGGTGGGTAGGGTATGGTTATATCATTTTCATACCCGGTGGTTATTTGATCGGGTATTTTAGAAAGCTCTACCCGGCGGATTAGGAGTTGGTATAGGGAGGGTAAACCCGCACCCGACCCTACCCATTGCCATCCCTAGGTGGGATCAACAAGTGGTTTGGGTTGATAACCCTCCACTTTCCCTAAGTTGTATGATTAAAGATGATATGGGTCATGGGCCCTAATTTTTCTTAATGAAATGGACTAGATTGCCTAAAAAAAAAAAACTTAAACATATTTTAAAAAAATACCCTCCATGCTTTTAAGTTTAAACTAGCAAATTAGCAAAACTAATACTCCCCATGAATGCAAGTTATGCAACCCAAACATCATTTGCTTATTTCTCTCTATTGACGTCTCATACGATGGTTGTTCTGCCTATATGCCAAAAATAAAAATAGAAGCAGCGTTTTGTTTTTTCTGAGAGAACAGTTGTTGTGGCAACTACTATGTTATGTTTTCTTCCAAGCGTCGTCTGGTTTGGATGTAATCTGACATTCGCGATTCACTCACTGTAGTAAGTTTATTGGCTTACTGCACAGTGGCACTAATCACCTAAAAACACGAGATTATCTTGAATTTGAACCTGGAGTCTTGCACATAATTTGCCAAGCAAAACTCATCATGCAATCTAAATAGCACGAACCTACAATCTGTTGTACCAAAAGCGTACATTCGCAGTATATACATGACTGTGCAAACCCGGAATTCTACAGTTCTTTGTTAGCTACCGAAAAATTTGCACGTTCAATCTCACCGTTAGGATCCCATTCAGTTGTACTCTAATCATCATGCATGACTAACCATTTGCCAACACGTTGCTCCGCCACCTACAGCTCCATTAAGCTTTAGAAACAGTCAAAGGAAGGAACCTCACTCACTAAGGAGCGGAAACCATATCTCCTCAACTGCGCCCCATGAATATAAACCTGTATTTGATGAAGATAAATTTTTAATGAATCATAACACGACTTTGAATCGAGTTGAAGCTACTTAATGAGACATGGAGATGTCCAGTTTGGCTAAGGTCTGGGGTAAGAGATGGAAAAACTCCGGCCACATTGAGTGCAACATCTTGTACTGTTCACTATATGGAACAACCGAAAGCTCCTCTACCTGAAAAGACAAATTGTTGAAAGTTTTTATGAAATCATGATTAATGCAAACCATTCTTCGATGTTTCGAGATGGTAATCCATTCTTGGATAAGCAAAGCAGTAAAGGAGTGGT